GCTGTTTTCAAATTACGGGACATTTTGACCCCTTTACTGTCCAAGCTGAACTTACCAACTTTATTCTCAATCATAAAATGTTTAAACTGTGAAGATAATACCTAATTCCTACATCATTCCCTAGGTAACTAAATCAGTTGCTATGTTCAGAAGACATGAGAGTTCTCTCTGTCTTCTTTTCCCAAACATAGAATCATGGCAGTTCTATTTGAAAACATACTTTGAGCATTCCTTTTACAGGCCACCTTTGACTTTTAATTGTATTGGTTAGTTTCTGTCAAATTAACAGAAATTGGGTAGAGGGAAAGTCGGGTGAGGAATTGCTTCCCCCAGATTGGCATATTGGCGTGCATATATGACATTTTCCTGATTATGATAGATATGGAAGTTCTCTTAATGCCATGGACAGTGCCACCCCTGGGCAAGTGGATGACCAAAGATTGTATAAGGAAGGAAAAGAAGTAAACCATGCAAACCAAGCCAGTAAGAAACTTTTCTCCATGGCCCCCATCTCACTTCCTGCCTCTAGATTCATGGCTTAAGTTCCTGCCTTGGTTACTATGTAGATGAATTACAAAAAGTAAGACATTAAGGCCCTTTTTTCCACCTAAGCTGATTTTCATCTATGTTTTATTAAAGAAATAGAAAACCAAGATATAATATTTGAAATTCAAGAGGACATTTCAAATTGCTTTAAGGGCCATCTTGTCTTAGCCTATAGTATGCAATTAAACATCTACATTATACATCCTATTGCAAATGTTACAGAGTTTCTTATTCTGCATTTCTTATGTTATTGTGAGTGTCCTTAAATTATTTCATTATATTCATTGTTTTCTGTGCTAAATATTTTTGTGTCAACTTGACACAGGCTAAAGTCAAACAAGAGAAGGAATGATAGATTAAAAACAAGCCTCTTTAAAATAGGGCTGTAGGCAAGTCTTGTACAGCATTTGTTTAAAATATCAGTTGGATGAAGGAGGGCATATTTCATTATAGTTGGTGCCATCACTGGCCTGGTGGTCCTGCCTTCTATAAGACAACAGGCTGAACAAGCAAAGGGAAGCAAGCCTGTAAATAGCACTCCTTCATGGTCTTTGCATCAGCTCCTGCCTCCAGGTTGCTGCCCTGCTTGAGTTTCTGTCCCCGCTGTTTTTTTATTTATAACAAACTGTTATTTGTGAGTTTGTGATGTGGGAGTGATTTCTTATTAATAAAGAAACTGCCTAGACCCATTTGATAGACCAACCCTTAGGTAGGCGGAGTAAACAGAACGGAATGCTGGGAGAAAGAAGCTGAGTCAGGGAGTCGCCATGATTCTCCCACTCCAGACAGAGGCAGGTTAAGATCATTCCTGGTAAGCCAGCTCTTGGGCTACACAGATTAATAGAAATGGGTTAGATCAATATGTAAAAGCTAGCCAATAAGAAACTGAAACTAATGGGTCAGGCAGTGTTTAAAAGAATACAGTTTCCGTGTAATTATTTCGGGTAAAGCTAGCCGGGTGGCGGGACACAGCCCACCGCTCCGTATTTCAACAAGTTTGAGTAAAATAAAACCTTTCCTCCTCAAGTGTCTTTGGCCATGGTGTTTTAGGTAACCCTAAACTAAGACAGATATGGTATTGAGAGTGGGACATTGCTATGATAGGCCTGACTGTGTTATTTTGGGGAGGATTGTGGAGGAACTTCGGAACTTTAGGCAAGAAAACTATTGAGTGTTCAAAGATTGGCAGGCTGTTCTCTGGGGACTTGAGGAGTATTGAGAGAAGTACACATGATAGACGTGTGGCTTGTGCTACTTCAGAAGAAGGTTTGAGAGTTGTTTAAAGACTATCAGAGTGGTTGCACATTTGCTATTTTAAATTTAGATTCTGTGGTTCTGGGCAGCTGGGGCTGAAGAACTGGCCGTAATAAGTAAAAGACCAGTACCATGAAAATGAACCCTTTGCTTTACTGAGGCAATTGAAGCTGGATATTCGGCAGTGATTTGGAAGTGATTAGCATCCCTGAGGTGAATCTCCTTAGAAGCGTTTCCTGAGAGTAAACAGGCAGAGGTGGCCAAGGCGTACCTTCCTCTAGCAGCTGATTTGGTTGTGTAAGATCTTGAACTCATGAAAGAATTATGGAGAACAGCTAAGCTTTGGCCCTGTGAAAGGCCATGAGAGGCCATTGGTGAAGGTATAGCCTTAGTAACAATTGAAGACACTGGATTAAATAGGTAATTCAGAGTATTTGAGGGTTGGCACCATGAAGAAAGCCCAGGAGAGGTTATCAGTGAAATTGCAGCCTAGTTTTAGCAAGAGATCCCAAGATTTTGGAGATTTCAGTAACATGGGATGGTCACCAAGAACAGCAGCAATAATGGAGTAGAGCCTGCCTAACCTTGGAAGACAAGCTGTGCTTGCTTCAGATGACGTAGCTTGAGATGGAACCAAGACCCTTGGGGGATCCCAGAAGCACATAAGTGAATCACTGATATTGGAGGTTGAGTTTGGTTTTTCTTTGATCTGATTATGACTGTGCCCTGGTCATTCCTTCTTGAAATAAGAAAGTATTAAACTTACTTTTTATTTACTAGAAACACACAGCTAAGAGACTTTCAGTTTTAAAAAGAAACTTTGGTTGTTAAAATTGGCTTTGGGATGTATAAAGAGCCTGTATTCTTAAAGTGAATTTGTAGGATCATGGACCTTTCAAGTTTGCAAAATGTTTTGTATTGTGATGTTTATAGTAATGTGTGATCTTGTGGATGAACAGGAAAGGAAAGGTTGTGGCTTTACAGTGGTGTGTTTGTGTGTGAAGTTGACAAGCGGTCAATTGTGCTCGATAGTTTTATATCAACTTGATACAAGTTAATTATCTGAAACTTTATTAAGGAACCTCCATTACGAAAATATCACCATAAGGTATGACTGTAGGCAAGTCTGTAGGGCATTTTCTTACTTAGTAATTAGTGGTAGAGACCACCCCACCTCTTAGTGGATGGTGACATACCTGGACTAGTGGTCCTGGGCTTTGTAAGAATGTAGGCTAACCTAACCAGAGGGAGCAAGCCAGTAAGCAGCATTCCTCCAGGGCCTTTCCCTCAGCCATACTTCTAGGTTTCTAGCCTGCTTGAGTGCTGTCTCTCACTGGTTTTGAAGATGAACAGTTACATGGGAGGGTGAAAGAAATAAACCCTTTCTGCCCAAGTTGTTTCTGTGTTTCACCACAGCAATAGTAACTCTAAACTAAGATAATTTCCAATTTGGATTCTGTCTTATACAGAACCCTCAGTTAAGCATTGAATGAATAAACTGAAAATGGCCTTTCACTTTTCATGTATGATAATAATTTGAGATTATGCTGATTGAGATGATTGAAAACATTTCTAAGAGAGAAAGTTTGTATGACACTGGGTTAGTCTTACGTAGCTCTGTAAGTTTTGTCTTGTTTCTTTTGAGTAGTTTTGTGCTTTTATTGGATTTTGCAAGGCTATTCACATTCTTTTTAGCATCACGGATCTGTCATTTAGAGAATAATATACATGAATATAGGCTTTTATTAGCTCATAAGCAATTGATATGAACAAAATGTTGTCTTCATTTTTGGAAAATCTTTTATTTTCCTAGATCTATCATTTGCTTTCCCAAAACACTATAGAATGTGACAGTTCATGAAGTAGAGTCAATTTCTTTGGGTACTGATGCATGGATGTGTAGAAGCACAATTATTTCAAACCTTTGATTTCATTCAGAAGTCATAACTATGATGTGTATGGCATTATATGGGCTCTCCTTCCATATTTGTCCATTGTGTGCAAAGTCATCTGCCTCACTCGGTTCTATTAGAAATTGCTGATACATCTCTTTTTGGCCTTTTAAGTTGCCCTACAATAAATTTCACATATTTACAGTATTTTAATTGTTAATAGCTCAGTATAATTTGCATGATTTTTCCAACTTTTTATTTTATAAAAGCATTTAAATATATTTATAGGTAAATATTTTTGAAAAAAATAAACTTTATAATCAGTAATTTATATAAGGTTACGAAGTAAAATTATTTCAGATTATGTTGAAATGAAAACTCTCACCTTGGGATTTCTTTTTAAAGTTTTCCTAAGGAATGTAATACTATCTTTATTTGGTTATTAAATCCACATGGTTTATAAGAAGTAAATGGTCATTTAGAGTTACATCTTTATTTAAGGCATGGGGTTTCTCCTCCCATCATGTCATAAATGCCATCAAGCTAACGAAATATATCACAGTCAAAGTTAAATAATTCAACAGCATTATTAAGAAGTTAATTTGCAAAACTATTCATGAATCACATTTAAACCTTAATCATGCTTTTTATGGGAATTACTTGAAAGAGTTGTGATTTATACTTACTTTTATTAAATTAAGGTATGGTGACATGTGGTAATGGATCAATGGGTAAAGTCCTTACTATACATGTGTACAGACTTGAGTTCAGATCCTCACTACCCACACACATATTTGGACACAGTAGTACCTTCCAGTAACCTTAGTTCTTAAAGCGTGGGGGAATGTGGATCAGGGATTTACTGAACAGCCACTCTAGCTGGATTGGGACATATTCCAGATTCAGTAAGAGACCCTTTCTCAAAAAAAAAAAAAGATAAAGTGGAGACAAAGACAAGCACATTCACGTTCATACATGCACACAGATGTATACCACACACATGCATTTTCAAGAGTCACATGTGCACACCCATGTATACATAAGACATATCAGCCTTATTAAGAGCACAATATCTCAACATCTTGCAATATTTGAGCCACCCAGATATGAAATATTTTTTAAAGTATGTGAGAAGGAGCAAATAAAGATAAAGAAATGAAAAGACTATCTGCTGTAATTCACAATCCCTGTTTGATAATTACTAGACAAACCCATGACTTTATCACTGTAAAATACTGAATAGACTGCAGCGTGATCTGTGCTAACAGTGTTACATTGGACATCTTTTTCTTCCCCTATATCCCCCAGCTGTAAGCACAAGATGTACCTTGAAAGGCTGCCAAACACCAGCATCATTATCCCATTCCACAACGAAGGCTGGACCTCTCTCCTGCGGACCATACACAGTATAATTAACCGAACCCCGGAGAGTCTGATAGAGGAAATCATTCTAGTCGACGACTTCAGTGATAGAGGTAAGCTGCATTGGTAACATGTTATCTGAGGCTGTAATCGCATATAATCACAAAAAGAGGGAGATGGTTTCTTTTTCATCCCATCTGAAAGATGATCATGAGGTTTTACCTGTGTTGTGATTGAAGAAAAAGGTTGGACAATTGCAAAAGGAACATAATGAGTAGCTACTAGCATTGGAGATGTCACTGGTAATAAATGTGCTCTGCATTCTATTGAAAATCAGGCAGTACTGGAAATTGCCTCAAGCTCACTTCCAGGCATGATAAACCTGGAAACTATATTGTTGCAGGAACATGTCAATAGGGAGTTATTCATGGAAGTTTCCAAAGTGTGTTTCTATTTCTGAATAGTATTGTGCCTTGCTCATTACTAGTTTGATACATTCTTCAAGGCATGCTTGCGTGACTTCACAAATATTACAAGTTACATGGGACAGGAACATATACTTTTACTCATGGTTTCAGTTTTTTTAAAATCACATCTAAGTATCACAGAAACAATTTGCTATAACAGCATAAAAGAAAACCTGACACAATATTAACGATTACCTTTAAGGTAAAACCAGTTTGACTCATAAGGCAGGGATTAAAATTATAAAATCTTCGCTGAGAGTGGGAATTCTTAAATTACATGTGGTTGAAATGAGGAATTAACAATATAGTGACAGGAGAGTCCATCACAGTGTGCATAAGTAGATGATAAAGAGGTTTGAAGATGTTCACATTTTTCTGTGTGTGCATTTCCATAATATAGTGTACTGCAGAAGGTGTTTTAATTAACATGGCATCTGCAAGAATGAGTGGCAATAGATTATTTGTGTCAATATTATTATTTCATCACAGAAGCAAACCCATCTTGAAATCATAAGGCTAAAGTGTTTTCTGGAAATTAGATCTGCAACAAAGCATCATGTTTTTCATGGCATGGACAAGTTATATAGAAGGATGTGTAGGGTGCTATATTGAGGAAGATTGACTTGAAATACTCATGGGAGGATTGCCAAAGTTCAGTAGGTTGTGGATTTTATATGTCGAATTGAATAAAATCAATATTCTTTTCTGGTGTAAGTGGCCACCTTGGTTATTTCTCTTTAATTACAGAGGTTTCTCCATTCTGTTGCTTAGGATCAGTATATATTTGATACTATCTCAAAATATAATCCTAAGTATAAAAATGTAGTAGTCACATATCTCTAAAATTAAATAACACACTATTTTATTTTTATTATAATTAATGTTAAAAATTTCAAAGTATCCACATTTATCTCATACAAACATAAGCATTTAAATAAATTTAAGACTATATTTATAAAATAAAAAAATACAATAAAACCCAAGGCTGAAAATCATCAAGTGAATGGTCTTTAGGGTTGACTGGAGGCAGAGGACATTAGACGGTATATGTGTGGGTAATTTTCTGCATAATTAATTTTGTCCTAGAAAACTGTTTATTATGACAGAATTTTTGCCCTGTGGTACTACAGTAGGAAATGCTTGACAGTAAAATAATGTCTTTCGAGCATAGTTTGCACAGTATATTCAGACAAATTTCAACTGAAATCTGTAGATGACGAGAATCAATGGTGCTTAAGTTTCTTAGCTCTAAATTATTCTTGTTTTGGTGCAGTAGCCATTTTTCTATGGTTACTGTGTTTAGTGGCACAGATGCCACGCAACAGAAACAGGGCCAGTTAGGACAGTAATGGTGATCTTTCTCTTTATTTTAAAAGGAAAATAATAATCAAATGCTTAAGCAAAACTTTCAGGTAAATATTCTATTAATTTTATTATTTAATTTTTTAGACTATTTGTTTTTAATCGCAGTCCCTCCCATTCCCTCAACTTTACCCAAATCTGCTCCACTTCTACTCTCCCAATTTTATGTTCTCTTTCCTGTCTCTCTTTTCATCTCTCAAGAACAACAACTGTAGCAATAAAAACAAAATGTAAAAATGGAGAACAAACAAACAAGCAAGCCTAATAAGACAAAACAAAAAGCATGCATAAAAAACTAAGAGTCTATTTTGTTCTTGCCAACTACTTCCGGGCATGGGGCCTCCCTGGGTTCATATACCCAGCTCTTCATTGAAAAAAAAAATCCAGCTGTAAGCCACATTTTGTAATGAAAGACAAGACTAAATGTTGCAAGAAATAAGTGATAAGAATGCTTCTATAATCTTCTGCTTTATACCTATGAAATTATATGAAACAGGAAAACAACTTTCTTACATATTTTTGCTTGGTATTATGAAATTTTTGATAATTTTATTTAGCTTATATATTATAACCCTATATTGTATATTATAATCCTACCAACTACTTCTAACTATGCACACTGAGTATATTAGTTAAATTTTTGGAGTCACACCTTTTTATCAAGGGAGAAGACAGTGTGTCTCCTCATGTACATTATGATGAATATGTGTCTTGGATGGACAAATGTTCAGGTGAAAGCACAAAATAAACATCTGAGCCATCACCTTCATCTTTGCTTGTACCACATACTCCCCTATAGCTCTCAAATGATCTCCATTCTTTTGTGAGGATTTATATAAACATCTGAGCCATCACCTTCATCTTTGCTTGTACCACATACTCCCATATAGCTCTCAAATGATCTCCATTCTTTTGTGAGGATTTATTTGTAATTGCACTAAATATACTCCACAAAGTTCATATTTCTGCCTCGATCTTTCAATTCATCTGTCATCTAGTTATTCCCAGAAACAAATTATCTAGAATACATGTGATGACTAATTATGTTAATTCATAAGTTTGGGAAACTTTTGAGTACTTAAACAGAAGGAATAACCCATATGAGATTACTAACTCATTACAGAAATATTAAATAAATAAGCCTCCAAGAATTTATTAAAAGTGGAGACCATGCTATCTGCCAATGTTATGCAAATGGAATTGAGGCACATTTAGCAGAATGTTTTCCAAAGATGATTTTTACTATGATAAGGTAAGGAAGATATCCTAAGGCTGGTGTTACTTTTAGAGGCTTCAAGACAGGAGCTACTTCTTTGAACTTGACATATCTATACATAGATATGTTGTGATTAATAGTATGCTGATAAGGATATATATGCATGTATTAGCTTTTAAAAAATTTCATAAATTACAACTACAACCTTACATTGCTAACCTATTTTTATGAACTCTTTAAACTCAGAACAGGTAAGCTAGACAAGTTTTAAGTCTGTAAAGACATAGAGAATCTGTTGGTTCCCTTGAAGAAATTATTTCTGATATTTCATGCTTTATTTTCAGCAATACATTCCAGTCCTAATTCCTTTCCGTACGCAACCTCATTCCTTACCAGAGTATGTCTTCTGGATGGCCTGCGATGTCCTTCAGCCAAAGGCAATAAAAGTTTGACGAGACTTAATCAAAATTCCCTGCCCTATATTTTAGGTGTTGACTATCAATTGAACAGTAATATATGACAAAACACGAGGATGGCAATATTTTAGCTATGTTAGTAGCACATGTAAAATATCACTTAGATATACTTATTTCTGATACATGTATGTAGTACAGTAATTATAACATTCTGCTATAAAGAAAACACTAAAATATCATGTAGTTATGAATAATTCTGTTTTATTACTGTGTGGTTTTCTCAAACATCTGCCTAAGTAGGATTGACCTAGTTTTCAAGTTATTTTTTCCAAGTCAGTATCTCGCCAGGAGTTCTTAGCTGAAGTGCTTTCCACAAGGCTAGTTTGGAAAAAAAAAAAAAGAAGAAAGAAAAACTATTATTTTAGTCTCAGAACATAAGCATACCATCTCTTAAACGTTAAGTTTGAGGCCCAGAGATAAATTTTTGAACAATCCTGCCTTGTTTTTGCTCTTTAAAGCTCAGTTTTCTGGAATGAGTGAGTGTGTAGCTTTGCCACATCGAAGCTTATAGAGATACCTTGCACAACTTAACTTGAGTCCTGTAACAAGGTTTCACGATGACTTTAAAGCAGAAGTAATCCTGGGCTTATCTCCAAATTCCAGGCATCCTTACTAGCATCCCCATGGAAACTGCTAAAATGTGGGAAATAAGCTGGGGCTTATCCTCAGAGATTGGGTGTATTTGAACCTGACAATTCTGTAGACTTTGTATGCTTAGACAAGCACAAGTCCAAGTTAGGGGTAGGAATGGTGGGGGTGCTACAGACACGTTTCTATCAGCATAACATACATACATAGGTTTCACTGTGCATCTAGGAATACACGCAAAATCACAGCTACATATATGCACACCCACATATTATTTCCTTAGCTTGGTTCATGCTTCATTGTGAATCCAGGTAGACAGTTCACCTTTGTGATTCTCCGGGAAGGACATTCTTCTCTCTGTGTGCTAGATGGCAGGAAAACCCAGAGATGTCAACTACCTTTATAAGAGGACCATTATGGTAATCTTGATGAAATCCGGCTTACTTTCCCTCAGATGCTCTAGAATGTTGTGGGGGAAATTGTTTATACTGTGTGAAGATGTAGCAATGTTTCTCCAAACCTGCCTAAGGCACCTGATTAGTTTAATAAAGACCTTAATGGCCAATAGCTAGGCAGGAGGGGCCAAGTGGTACTTGTGGGCAGGGACAGGAAATGAGAAGAGGCAGGTTTTTGCCAGCCAGACATGGAGGGAGTCAGACATACAGAATGGAGGAGAAGTAAAGAACCATGTGGCAGAATATGGGTTAATAGCAACAGGTTAGTCTAAATTATAAGAGCTACTTGGTAACAAGCCTAAGCTAAGTCCAAGCTTTCATAAAAATAAGAAATCCCCATGTCATTATTTGGTGACGGGTGGTCCAAAGAAAGCCTGACAAGAAAGATCGGCTGCATTAGACAGCTGCGGCCAAAGGTGTGACCAATGGGCTAGTAGCTTAACCATCATCTTGAAGCCTTTTAGCAATACTAGATCTCAGAGGACTTCCTCAAATGAATTAGACTCTAAATTTTAATCAGAGGAATTTCACATAAATTAAAGTGAAAAT